CATGATTCACTCGAACTGAATAAACGTATTTGAACAATGAACTGGAAAATTCCATCTCAAAGTTTGACAAAAAAAGCATTGTACATATGAATTTGAGAGAATGATAAAAAAACTTGACATCCCATATCCAACAACTACTCCAGTATTTTTCACAGCCTTTATTCATTCAAGTAAAAAAACTTTGGTTTTTAGAATTACGACGAATCAGAGAATCTAAAGTGGAATTCAATTCAAAAAATATATATTTTTGAAAAGCTACATTTCATATTTTTTTTTTGCTTAAGTGGGCCTGAGTCTGGGTGGGTGATTATTGCTGTCTCTTCCGTCTTTTATTGTCAAAGTCACACCCACACCCACACCCCACACCCCAACATCTAATAATTTTATTTCAACTCAGTTTTGTCACATTAGGGAAGAGCTATTCGACTGAGAATTTCGGTTTGAAAAAAAGGCCTTTCTTCAACTTCTTTGTGAGCTTGGTCTTATATGGTGTAAGATGCGAAACATCCAAATGGTATTTTTCGATCAAACTACCGATCGAGCTGACCGTGAGTCTGGCGAACAATGCACGATATTCTTTCCGAAGGAAAAACCAAGATTGAACAAAGGTTAAAAGAAAAAAATGTTGATAAACAATATATAGGTAGCATAAATTATTGAAGAGGATTACAACTTCCAATATGATCAGGCTTTACTTGCCGCACTTGATTGTATCCAAACGGTGTAATTTGTGCTTCATCCAACTGTAGAACGAGTCTAGCTGCTTCTTTTGCAGAAAGAAAGATCCGAGTCATCCCATGTCCACTGAATCCCGCACACACAACTCCTCCATCAACTTCCTTAACCACCGGAATCCCGAATTTCGTAAATCCCATGATTCCCGTCCACTCCAGCTCCACTCTTTCACCACCCAAATGTTTACAAAACCTGTGTAATTCGACGCTCACTTTCTCGTTTACAATGGAATCATCTATTGTGTCAATTTCTGCAGTAGGAGAAAAGCGACGAGCACCACCCAGAATTAGTTTATTGGTGGGTCTTTGAGAGAGGTATTCTCCGTCATGGTTGAATGAACTGTTTTGAAGAAATCTATCAACTGGATTCGATTGAATGACTTGTCCACGAACCGGAATGATAACATCTTTCATTTGAGGAAGTAAGAGGGAGGTGTAGCCGTTTGTTGCATAGACAATCTTTTCAGCGATAATTGTTCCTCGATTCGTATGTATCGTGTTATTCTCGACCTTTTCTACCGGCGTATGGGTAAACAATTTTATTCTATCTCCAAACTTTTTGAATAAATTGCATAAAAGACCAGTCACTAGTTTGTAAGGATGTATAGATCCGCTATATGTATGGACGACGAGTCCTTCACATCGCATTCCAGCCATATTTGAAGCTTCTGGATTTTGATAGATTCGAAGTTGAGAGACTGGTCCTCCTATATTTCTCATCATTTCTAGATTCCTCTTTAGATCTTCGAATTCGTTCGTAGAGAAAGCAACGTTATAATATTCTTTACGAATAAATTCACAGTCTAGTTCTTCCTTCCTAATAATCTGCACGATTGCCTCGTAATTGTCTATTTCAAATTGTGCATATTGAACAACTTGAGCAGGTGAAAATCCGTTTGATAATAGCGACAGTGTATTAGAATAAATATTGGGTGTCAAATGCCCTCCGTTTCTACCCGTTGCACCAGAACATACTTGTCTTGCTTCCAACAACGTTACACATGACGTGGAAGAGGAATTCAAAATATGGTAAGCAGTGGAAATTCCGGTGAATAACGGTGCCGATTATGACAATGTCAGATTTTCTAGGAAGCCCACTTGAAAAATAATCAGAAAATAGTGATTTTTCGACTTGCCATGCAGAATTTGTGGAATTCTTGGGTATTTCCATCGTTAGACAAGTTAAACATCAACAAAATATTATCGCCTCAAATTTTTTAGTGAAAGAAAAAGAGTATTTGACGATGAAGAAAAGAAGAATTATATCATTTGCTTTATCTTTCTGTTACTTATCTTGTGAATATGTTGTTGACTCTGTTTCATAAAGAAAGAAGAAGAATTTTTCACAAGCTATAACATAAACTAGTGTCTTCCTCTATCTTTTCTTGCTTGTCTGTTTTTAACTGACTGAAATGCAAAGAAGCATTTTATCGTTGAATCATTTCAGACCATGAAGATAACTGTTTGTATTCAACATTCACATTCATTATTTCACCTATTCTGCCCTATTGACTTCAATACGAATCAAGAAAAGCTTGATAACTTGATGTTTGTCATGCATCTGTCTTTTCTCTATTATTTTAAGGTTTTTATACGCTTTTATAATGATTATATTAGTAGAATTCGACTTCTTGTTCGTTGTGAAAGAGGATCTGTTTAGCTCTAAACGGATTAGTGTCGGTGTGGTTGTGGGATAGGCTGATTGCCGGCGCCAATTATTAAAATTCTCGGCGGCTTGACATTTTTAAATTTCGAGCACCAACGGCGGCGTGGTGGCTGTAATCAAAGTGTCTCAGCGGCGGCAGCGGCTTGAAGTCTAAAAAAGCGCTCTAGTATCATGAAAAAAAATTCATCTATGATCCTGCTACACTATAAAGACAATGCAGTACTAAATTCGTGTTAAATCAACCCGTGTGTAAATTTGTGTCAATGCATCAGTCAGAATTCTAGACTTTGAAATGAAACGTGGCTGATTCTCACTTCAATCATAAAGGACTCGCTCATTGAAAACTGCATTAGTCAAAGTAGAAAATCGAATGAATCAGACTTTGATTGATGGATCAAACCCTAATTCGGTTCTGAAAGTGTTAAATGCTTATTAAATGTTCAACTATTCATGCTTTTTAATCCAGCATAACATTTTCTGGTGTAGACAAGGCCTATTTCAACATCCCATCCTTTTTGTTTTCAAACAAATATGTGGAAAAAACTTTATTTTGCATCTAGACATGATGATAAAGTATATAATCAAAAATAAGTAGAATCATCACAATAAATAATAAATGAAAAGTCACGACCATCGTTCATAAAGGGACCTAGCGCACACAAGTTTGTTGTTTTATTTTATTTTGTTTTTTTTTAATCAAAAATTAAAATGTTCGTCCGTTCTTGTATATAAAAATATATAATATAATAGATATTAACAACTAAAATGATTACTAAAATTTTAAACCGACGCAGAATTAAGGGTTCTTTACATTTTAGAACCCCAAGCGTCTCATTGGTCACAGAAAAAGCACGACAGTTAGGCGGAAAGTAGAAACCTAATGAAAAAGAGATATATTGCGGTTCTTAGTTGTAAAAGTATCGAATTAAGGAAAATATAAATAAAACCTTATCGATATTTATGATAGTTGCTCGCAGCGGCGGCTAGAAAATTTTCAATTTTCGAATACCATCGGCGGCGTGACGGCTGTAATTAAAGCATCTCAGCTGCGGCTCAGCCGCACGGCTTACGGGTGTGGATGTGTGGGTGTGGATGTCAATCTTGTGTTCGTCCACCCACACATATACCCAGATCCACACCCACAAGTTAAATGGTGTATTATCAAGAGATCTAATCCGAAGTTTATTAAATACGATTATATGTCAGATACCATCGACTATATTACTAGGCAGACAACAAATTTAACTGTTGATTTTCATAATTACTAGATGCGCATACGGTACTATGTCNCTGACAGGTCATTTTCATGAGTTGTTTTGCATGTTTTTCAAATATCATTAGTTATAAAAGAATTTCGTCTTATACATTATCGAGGAAAAAGACGTGCCCGCTCCTCCTCTTTCGATTGTTGAAAACCGCAGGTAGCTAGGTATTGCGGTTGTCGAGTTATTGAGCTTACACTCACCCCTCTTTTATTCTGGCGCGGACATTAGACAAAGTATTTCGAAGTTATGGTAAATCTTATATTATTACTTACTTTTAATAAATCCCTGGTTGCTAATTTTTGACAAAAATAATCTATAATAAGAGAAAAGTAGATATCGGAGATAAAAGCCAAAAAAAAATCGATTCCACTAATATTAGCATTTTTCCGACTACGTTGACAAGCACCATTTCATACCCTAGAAAATGATATCCTATTTTTCAGTAATATATGTAGTACTAAGTGCGAAAACAGAACCAAACATTTTTTTTCTGATCAAAACGAGTAGTCCTGCTCATCACTACATAGTATATTTAATATGAATATATTCATTAATAGGTATTGGATCGATTCATGAACGAACAGGCGATATATTAGCGTATCTTTTCAGCTGGGCTAATACATTTATTATGAAACCATCAAGTATTGCAGTTCTTACTCTTACTTTTTCTCAATATTTCTTGTCTGGCATCATGGAAGGTAAATTGACTTTTATAAACAATATTGTTCATCTTGTACATTTAGAATGTGAACCTTCAGAAGAATTAATCAAAATGACGACTATTTTTGCTCTTCGTATATATATTCACTGTTTTATTCGTTTGCTAAGTGATTTTTAAATTATTTTTATTTGACAGTCATGATAATCAATATTAATTCTATCAGTGTGGCTGCAGCTAATCGTCTTAATATCATATTCGTTATCAGCAAAGTATTGACTATTTTAACAGTAATAATAGCTGGTCTTATACGAATAGGAAAAGGTTTAATTTTTGTTCTATTTAAGAAATTAAATTAAATCATGAAAGAATTTTTGTTCATAGGACATACACAAAACTTGCAAAATAGTTTTGAAGGTAAGATCCAGTTGATTATGATAATCAAGTGAATAATATATTATCTTGAGGTACAACAAAAAATCCATTGACTGTTGCACTTGCATTATATTCTGGTCTTTGGGCATATGATGGATGGAATTGTCTTAATTCAGTGACAGAAGAACTAAAAAATCCTAAAAGGTATAATTTTGCATAGATATGATCTTCTACACACAACTGAACATATTTATCTGGTTAAATCGAGTCTCGTTTTATTCATTTTAAAAGCTTCGTAATAATAATGTTTTTTGCATTTTATAGAAATCTATGGTTATCTATTGTATTGGCTTTACCTACTGTTATAGTTCTTTATGTTCTTACTAATATTTCTTATTTTACTGTAATGAATACAGCAGAATTACTTAATTCCAAAGCTGTTGCTGTAGTATGTGAAAAAAACAAACATCAGCCTTATTTTGTAATTAATTAAATTCTTATTGAATAGACATGGGGTGAATCTGTATTAGGTCCAGTTGTACGTGTTTTACCTATTCTAATTTCTATTAGTGCATTAGGTAGTGCTAATGCAAGTCTCTTTGCATCTGCTCGATATTGTATGGTTAGTGCACAGTATGGATATTTGCCAGAAGTATTTGCATGTATTCATATAAGAAGATTGACTCCAGTGCCTGGTGTTGTTCTTCAGGTTGTGCTGTTATTTTCTTCCATTTCAACTATTAAGCATAATATTATTATTTTCCTTGTTTTTTGAAGGGTACAATTGCAATTATGTTTTGTCTTCCAAGTAATATTGAAGATTTGATCAATTTTTTTAGTTTTGCAGCATGGATTTTTTATGGATTAACATTTGTTGCTACACTTTGTTGTAAATTTACACATAAGGATGCAGAACGAGTAATAAGTGTTAGTGTCTAAAGTTGCTTAAGACTAGGAAAGACAGTATGAATATTTTTACATATTTAGGTTCCTATCCCATTAATTATCATTATTATTCTTATCTCAATTTATTTGGTTATTGCACCTGTAATTACATCACCAAGCATTGGATTTCTTTGTGCAACAGTTTTGATTCTATTTGGTTTAGTTTTCTATTATCCATTTATCTATCGTAAAGTAGAATTGGATATAATAAGTAAGAAAAATATATGTTATTTAATAATTTTATTTATTTTGTTTACTTTTTATTTGGTTTTTCAGAAAAAACTAATAGGTTTTTAATATCATTCTTTCAGTTAAAAAGAGCACAAGTGAACATTTAATGGTAGAATCACCAGGTTTTTTTTCTTGTAGTTTTTATTTTCTATATAAATATTCGAAATTATGATTGAATTTGTTTATTATTTTAACATTTGTATGATTGTTTAATAGTGTTTTATCCTGATGCATTAGACAAAACTGTTAAACTATCGAAGAAAAGTTCTTCGGTAATTTCATTGACTATAGTAAAAACTTTATCTGAAAATATTAAAGGGGAAGAAACTTGTTTCTTCCGTAGGATGTCATAGGATCATGGTTGACTACACTGCTGAGAATTATTTCAGTACATAGGCACTTACCAGGTACCCATCCAGTTTCTATAGCACTCTATGCAAAAGTTTTTCAACAAGTTAGCAGATTAAACATTTAGAAGCATTTTGTAGTTAAGTGCTAAAATCTCACGAAGTACCCAAAGGTTCCTGTGACATAATGGTAGTAATTTAACATCGTGAATATCCTAAACTCAATGTCTTCACTAGGATTGTTCTCTGTGAATCAATAGAAATCATCAAAAATGTTTAGAACTGAAGAAAAATCAAGGGTCTCCAATAATTGTTAACTTCTTCCAGTCATGATTCATATCCTTCGAGCGTTATGATGATTTGTAGTATAGAAATTAGTTTGTTATATCTTCCGAAATATTTTATTTTTTCTTTAGATTAACCTTTAAACCTCCTCGCTATAGATTGAGAGCCAACTAAAAACTCTCATCGTTATTAAGCGTCAAAATAAAAAGGACATAAAATTGATGTTCCTGAGCTCCCCAGGTAAATTTTTGCTTCATTCAAGACGATACCGAGTTTTCTTCTCTGAACAAATAACAATATTAAAATCAATATGATGTTCCATCATTGCAAAAATTCAGATCCCATGTTCGTGTATGACATATTCGTTCATTAATTGCCAAGATAAAATAAACTCAAATTCTATAAAGTGTTAATTGAATTTGCCACCTTTATTGGTCATGTTCCTTCATTATTGTAACCTATCACTTGTTCATACAGGATCTGCAGGAATGGATCTTGAATCAACACTGAATCATCTACGCACATAAAGCGCTATTTAGTTTGCTATTAATCTCTTAAAACCATCTGCTTATCAAAAATTTCACTACAAATTTTGATTATTATTAACTTGGTTGAATTCATTTTTGAGTGATAAATCGAAAATAGATACGAACCATTGCATGGTTTGAAGCGTTTTGGCGATAATCATTCTATACAAAAGTGTCTTTAGAGTTTGAGAAATTTTCGTTTTCTGTTCTTAATAAACCATATTCGTTTAGAATGAAGTATGTTAATTGATATCATAATGATCGTTATTAAGGTGCGACAATTCTAAGCAGTGATTCATCGCAAGTTTTCTTTCTCCATAGATTTCGAGACGGAAAATATCAAGATAGAATCACGTAGGTAATGTTAGCACCAGATTCGCGTATTTCCTGTGCCGATNAAGAAAAATTTTGAGAAATTGGATCTTAACGAAATTTTCAATGGCAAACACAAACTGAGTCATTAAGAACAGCCCTTCGGCAAGTTCACTTTCATCAAGCATTCGAAAACTCGATTCAATATTGCTTAATCAAAACTGGAACAGATGATTAATCGATTAAGACAAAATGATGTGTGAAAATCGTGCCTGTCAAAACAAAAAATTGTTCATTTCGATATATATTGGAAGAGAAGAAGTCTAATGTCATTTCCAAGTTCATGTTGATTTAAAGGGTGTGGGTGAAGAAGCTGCCATGATCGGTTTCGTCCCTGCTAAAGGACTCATCAGATGGCTTAATCTATTCTGAATTTTTTGAAACAAAAAATCCAAAACAAAGATATGGCTGTGGGTGTGGTGCGGGTATGCCTCTTAACTCTCACCCACCCCCACCCGTCCACACTCACACCCCACACCCACCAACACCCATACCCCCACACCCACCCACATCCACATCCCACATCCACCCACACCCACAGCCACCTACATCCACACATCCCACACCTACGCCCATACCCAGGGTTTAATGTTACTTGAAGATATATCGTTCAGTTTGTTTCCCTTGGTCATCTCGGGTCGAGGCTTAAGCTCGTTCAGTAATAATTTCCATCTGTTTCGTTCTTGGAATATAGATGTTTGTCTGAGAGTGCATGAAGGAAGATCTATGCCTGCACCTGCATCTTAGGAAATATTTTGCAAAGATGAATCTAGTACAGCTTTTGATCTACTGCCTAAGTCACATTCATCCTTAAAGTTTCAAAGTTTTCTAATCAACCGTTCTTTAGAGAAACACTGGAGGGTAGGAGAAGAACGATGTGTGCTCTTATACTGATTCTGAGCTATGGAAATACAATTTTTAAGAGAATATCGTATAGGTAATGATGTGAAAAAATGGAAAAAAAAGATAGTATTTATCAATAAACGAATGTAATTAGAAATTTTCGAATCAATTAGTATTTCAGCAACTATTTATTGAGATATTTGATCGTTTGTCATTTCAACATGATTACCATACATGATGATGGATGGATGATCGGATGGTACAAGATCAAGAACTAAATCAAATGCTGATCGAAAAGTCTCCAAAGCTTGAGTGAACATTCCAAAATGAAATTGTATTAAACCAACATTATCCAAAGTCTGTGCTAATGAACATTTGTCAACAACTGGCATTTGCAACATATAATATTCGATCGATTTTGAATAATATTCCATAGCTTTTGAATATTGCCCAAGATCTGAATAGAGGGTTCCAATGTTATTGTAAATGGTTGCTATGGATTCATTTTTTTTAAATTGTTTATAAATTTCTAAAGCTTTTTCAAAATGTATTAATGCTGTTTCAAATAATTGTCTAGTTAAATAAATTGTGCCAATGTTATTATGACAAGATGCAGCTAGTACACTTTTATGAATATCGCTATGATGAGTTTCGAGAATTTTCAAAGCTAAATAAAACTGTTTTAATGCTTCATCATAATTTTCTTGCGAAGCATAAGCTGTGCCTAAATTGCAATGAGATTGCACTATACTTGTATGAAAAGGTGGTAATGTTGTTGTCCAAATTGTATGAGCTTTTTTTTGATATTCTAATGATCGTTCGTAATCGCCAAGTTTCTCATAGACTGATGCAATATTATTATAAAGTGCTCCAATTGCTGGATGATCACATTTAATATGTATAACGATAATTTCAAGAGCTTTCTTGTAAAATGTCAATGAGTTTACATAATCATTCAAATTATCGTAGGCCAAAGCTATATTCATCACGTATGAAAACATTTGTACATGATTTGGTGACAAATGTTTTTGCGCTAAATCTAAAGCTTTTTGATAAAACCGAAAAGCTTCTTTATGGTTTTGCTTCTCACTATATAAAATCCCTAAATTACTATAGACGGGTGCGAAATCAATATGATCATTTTCATCTTGTGACTGACGACGAAACTCAATTGATTGATTATAAGCATCAATAGCTTCATCGTACAGTGATTTAGACATATAAATTAAGCCTAATAGGTTATAAACATTTGCCAGATTTGAGTTATTCGGTTCTAAGCCATTTAATAACATTTTTAAATACTTTTCAGCTCGATCATAGTCACCCATATGCCATAAAATGGTACTGAATATGACTAAATCGGATTCTTCTTTATCAATATCATTTTTCAATGACTGAAATAGTTCTTGTATTGGTAATATTTCCTCTTTTTCTACATTTAATTTTACCAACCAATAAACTTTGTCATTAAGTTGTTGTTTCTTAACCGTATCAATTCGTAATATCATTCCAATCGACAACAACACCTCACACTCATTAGGCATTGCACTAACACTGGAAATTTTCGCGTACGGACTTGTTAAAGAAAATTTTGTATTGATTTGAATTTCGAAAAATACCGCATGATTTCCATCATAGTCAATTGAATCAAGAATAAAACTTAGAGCAGTTTCAGAATCAATACTAGTCGATGTAAATGCATTAAGTGTAATAAGTCCACCAATATTTGCTGTTAAATACTCGATTTCTTCCATAGCCATATATTGACCACGATAAATCGAGAGAATAGTTGATGAATTTGATATTTCATGATCCCTAAAAAGACAATAAAATAATATACTACCAAAACATGTTCTATTTCATACGGAAGCTACTGAAACATAAGTGGAAAAGAATACGCCAAAAAGATTTCCAGTGAAATCTCTGAAGTATGAAAATACGAAACGTAATCCAGTGTTTTTCTTGTACACAACGACCTTGTAGTTGCACTTCTTTCATTGCAAGGAACTGCTTTTTTTATTATTATGATCTACGCAAACATGAGAAGAACATGTCGACATATCTGTCTCAATTTATGCAAGATGAAACGGAAAGAAGAACAAAAGAAAAAAAAATAGTGGATTTTTTAATCTTTAGATTTCGCATGACATTGTTAATAATATTTTTGACTTTGAATGATACGGGAAAATTAACTCTTCTCAATAGTATATACTGTTTGTAAGCGAGGAATGAGTCGGTCAACGTTTTTCGGTTGGTATTTCATCGTTCGTTAGAAATCATGTTTTATAAAAATAGAGTTTTTACGACAACTAAGTCATATTTAAGGGGACAGACAATCTTATTTAATTCAAGATTGTAGATCGACTTACTCTCTTTGAAGCATTCTCAGTTGTTCCACAAGATCAGAAATAATAAATCGAAATTGATAAATTTTATCGATATCTTTCAATCGAAATGCCTTATTCAATAATCGATAGACAAAACTGTCACGAGTGTACCACCAAAGAGCCTTCGATGGAACATAGTCTCTTTCAAATTCATCAATTTTTCTAAGTTCGATTGAATTACTGGCATAGGATTTACGACATTCTTCTAACATGTCAAATTTGGCTTTTGGTGAATGCATTTTTGTTATTGCATATATTAGAAGATGAGACCATAAAAATATAGTTGATTCATGATCCAGACTGTGTACCGATGTTTCTTTACCATTCGATGGTGGATACACGGTCATAGGTAAATAATGTTGTTCCAAATGCGCAACATCATCGGCGATCTTTTCATATAGTAAGTTTTGATTGCGATATTCACCACGAATTTTATGTTGAAGATATTTTCTAGAGAGAAATAGACAAACCAGACAGATAGTGATCTTGGATAAATTATAAGTTTTGTGAGCAAATGGATCAAACTACTCAGCTTTTTCTGGTAGACGTCAGTTTTGACGAAATTTTCAACCAAAACAGTAGTTTCGCCAGTATTTCGACAGTGAGTCTGATATTTTCGAATTTTTGTAAAGAAAACGTAAAAAATCAGAACATCTTTGTCTCCTTAAAAACATTCTCACTTGTTTTATGATTCTATTTAACCGATTCAATAAGAAGTTTTCATGAAAAATACTAGCGTGATTCAATCAACCCATTTTCATCGAATGAGATAGTGTACAATGAAATCCGAATTGAACTAGGATTTTACAGTTCGATGTCAGGCTCTATTTAAAAGTCAACTTACTTCTCACGTCTTAAATCGTTTTCATCATCGGTAGTATCATCAAAAATATAAATGCATGATATTTGTTCTATTTGACAGATGAGTTGAACAATGGCATCAGCAGTTTTCTTGGAAATAACCAATAAAATCCGTTTCATAATTCGATTTTCATTGTCATAACTATCTGATGTTATGTAATCAATACATTCATCTCGATTAGAAAACGATTTTGAGTCAGAAAATTGATCCATATCGTTGTTCTCGACTGGTACTTCCAACCATATGAGAACCCATCTGTATAGATTGAACTCCGTTTGCCGTACGTGTTGTGGATTTTCAATGGTCTGTAAACTAAACTTGTTGAAATCAAAGGCAGTATTCATTTGCTAAGTGGATGCAGGATTCGCCAACAGATTACTTTTCAATTGTCAACCTGATATACGCTAATTTAATACAAGTGCTCGATCACGATGAGTTAATTGAGAATATTGTGTTCACTTTCAAAACAGCCCGATGTGATATCAATTGTTCAATTTGAAGACTATCAGAAGAATGACTAAATTAAGTCTTCATGGATCGAAATTCTCGCCAGAAAAGCCTACCTGAACGATTTTTAACTTACTGTTGCCATTCTTTAGACGAAGTTTTATTTACTCGTTTGATTATGAAAAACAACGATTCACTATCTATTATTTTTATTTAGGTATTAAAATCATGTTGCAAACAAGTGCATTAGATTTAACAGTTTTGATCTGCTACTTTACGTTATTTCAAGCAGTGCTGTCGAGTAAAATTCAAAGTCACTGGCGAAAAACAATATCGAACAAGGATTCTCTCTCTTCTTCATACTTTATTCGAGTTGACATACCTGTTTCACGTGGTAGACAAAAAACAAAATGAAAATAACTATTCTTTTTCTTTATCTTTTATTGCCTAAGAACAGAAAAAAATCGTAACTGTTATCGTTCTATTTTATTATTACTCGAAGTTACAAGAGGAAATAGCAAAAGATATTCGGTGTAATCATGCCATATCATTCTGTGTGCATTTTATGACAGACTAAATGAAAAAGAACAGGAATTGAGCATCAACTATATGATCCAGATTTCTAACCAAAATTCGGTCGGCCGACCAGAATTCGTTTTATTGTTTGAAACAAACTCGGTTGAGTGGACGTAAATGAATTGAATAATTGCTGGTTAAACCATTCGATAATCGACGACGTTAAAGTTCGATTATTACGCGAACAGCTAAAATTGTCGATGTGAAATCCATCTCAAGCGGATTTATATATCAGATTAAATGTTTGATTCTGACTGACATAAATCGTAGAGCACGACATTTCATATAAACGTATAATATTTATGACCATCATAAAAGCCGTTTTTGTTATCAACATTTGGTTGATTTTGGTTACAAGAACCTGACTTTCAGTCAAATAAATGTCGTTCTTGAAATAATCACAAAAGGGTTAGACCCACATTCATTTTTTCAAGGATTTATAAAAGATGTTCCGTTAGTATCTCCATTAAAATCCAGCAAACTCATTCGTATAGAAAATATTTCAGAAAAATAAAAGAACGAATAATCCATACTTAGTAACCTTACGATCAGGAATATATTTATTATGAACAAGAAGTGTCATTTGATATTGTGCAAGTCTATGTCAAGCAACGATAATTCAATTTTAAGTCGACAAGTCAATCAAAGAATTATATTTGAAAACTAGTTGATTCGAATATTGAATCATTATAATGCTGTAATTGCATATATTCTGAATTGTAACTTCTGTACATGTATAAAATATAACTACTAAAATCTAACAGATACAGGATATAAAAACTGATATCACAAATCAATATATATTGTCCTAAGTTCTTACAAATCCTGGTAATATTTTTGTGTACAATAAGTGATAAACAGAAAAGAGAATATTAATTTTTCAAAACTCGTCGAGATATGTGAGGGTGTGGGTCTGGATCTGAATGTAGATAAAAATAAGGGCCACATTCACACCCTTCCTACCATAAATACTTATGCACTTGACTAAGTATGAATTGAAAAATACTATGCTAGATTCAGTTTTTGTACTGATTTCGAATCTATATTTGGCTTTTGCCTAAAGGTGTGACTGGAATTCAAATATTGCTAAATTCTGTTCAACAAGGTTAATGGCAACCAAGTAACAGTGACTTCTTAGCAAGAGAATAAAATAAAAAAACAAGCAATGCATGCTTTTATGACTAGTGGCATAATGAGTCAAACGTGATTAAATGTTTGACTTCTTCGCCGAAACAAAAACACGAACGTTAAATAAGTGTACAGAGATGACTTGTAAATATTGCAATGAACATATTTCAAGGCGATAGCATCAAAAGAGCTTTTGAGTCAAAATAGATTTTATATGCTGTCTTCTATACTCACAAGGATGAATATCCAAATGCTAAATCGCTTTTGAAATACGTGAGATATAGAATTTTCAAGTGGATATCTCCAAGTGCGTTAAAGTTTCAACAAAAAATTTAAATTTCGAATTGCAACCCCCAGTTTTGCACAGATGTAAACTGGATTGAGACATATTCGAAGTCAGATTATTAGAATATTTGAAGAACTCGTTTCTGAAAGATCGAGTTCTGAAAAAGAGATGAATGCTTTGAATAGCAAAGAACTTTTAAAGTTTCCATATGTCAAAAAGAAGTTATCAAAAGAATTCAATGAAGTGGCTCGATCTACATCTGTGGAAAGTTTGAAATCGAAATGCGTAACTTGAATTTTTCTTCAAAAACTATCTAGCAGGGATATATTCACTTAAAAGTATCAATGCTTCAGTTCCAAAGATCGATGCACTTTAATCCTTCTTGAGTTAGTCATCACTCGTGAGGATCTACCATGTGAATATAGTCTCTTTCCAAAAACGATTTAGCAGTCCCATACTCTTCCTCGTCAGTATCTAATGTCGAATAAAAACAAAAGAGTATTATCAGAAACTCGCAAGTAGAGCGAACTCCATAGCGCTGTTCATTTTGAAAGAGATTGGTTTTTTCGGCATCGTACATATGAAGCGAAATTCGCTGAAGCTTTCGGTACTACTTTTCATATCTCTATCGACGTATACGATGAATTCAATCGAAGCTGTCACGCTAGTTGAACATTGCCAGTCGAAGCTCTTCCTCAGCCGGTAGATCAAAACATTGCATACTTGATAATTTGTGCCACGCAAATAAACTTCCACGATCGTAGACTTCTTTAAATAAAAAATAGTCTGAAATCATTTCACAGAAGTTTTATATAATTTTATTTCATCTTAAAATGCTCATACTGAATAATCGAAATTAAATGTGGAGAAAATCAAACTGTCTATTTTTTGTTTGAATGAGAATATTTAGACCGATGATGAGAATCCGTATCATGACATTTGTCACCAAATTTACATGGTATTTTATCATGGTCAGAACTTCTATGGTCTCTACTTCGTTCATCACCTGGATGTGAATACTTTGAACAATGTTGACGATCATTTTTATCGCGGCAATCGCGTCCATAGCGACAAGATATTCGTTCATGACTTGAGCTAGCTGAAGATGAAGATCTATGTTCATCTGGATGTGAATATTTAGAACAATGTCGAGAATCATTTGTATCCCTACAGTTGAGACCATAGCGACATGGTGTTCGTTCATGACTTGAACTAGCTGAAGGTTTAGCTCTGCGTTCACGAGGATGTGAGTATTTTGAACAATGATTCGAGTTATTCTGATCATGACACTCTGATCCATACCGACATACAGTTCGTTGGTCCCTTTTTTCTTCACGATCAGATTCTTTTTCTTGATACTCAGAACGAAGTTTCGACGACGATTTCTGGGGTGTTTCATCTAAGTAAAAATATTGAAACAAAAAATTGATATTCATACTACAATGACAAAACAATTACTTACGGATTTTATCACGTCCTATTTCTACATGCTCACCATGTGAATATTTTGTTCGATGATCCAATGTTTTATCACGACAATTCGATCCAGAAAGGCATGGAATAAGGAAGTCAGGATAGCCTGGATGTCGATACTTCGCTCGATGAAGAGGATCATCAAGTTTTTTACACGAATTCTTCAATGAGCATTGCTCTACGTTGTGCGGTTCATGAGTTAGATAAGGTTCTTTATCTTTACTATGGCAAAGTTCAGAGTATGGACAAGGATGAGAATATTCTTTCATATGTTTCGACGATTCTTGTAATACACAATTGATCGAATAAGGGCACGATTCAATCTTTTTATCATCGGCACCGTAACCAAATAAGCCAAGAACAGCACCTTTAGCTTTATTCAGAAAAGATGGAGATTTGTTACGAGGCGATTGTGGAGTTGTGGGTGATGACGAGCGATCACGACTATGAGACTTTTTTCTACGAGAAAAAGCATCATCGCCTCTTTTAAAATTTCTATCAAATGATGGATGTAAATCGGAATTTTGTTCAAAACTAATAATTAAATTTCGGATAGGTACTTTGTATGAACCAGCACTTACATGAACGTATTTTAATTTGCTGAAGTCAAGAGTCGCTTTCGAAAATTTACACATTATCGTTTCGTAACAATAAATACTATTCGGTCCAGCATGTGACAGTGTTACTTGACCTGTTTTCTTCTCAATTTTCAGACAATATGTTAAAAAGTTTTCAATATTGCATCCGCGATGAAATGAACGTGAACTACTTGAGCATTTACCAGTAGTCTTAATAACACCATGTCGATATGGTTCGCCTGCATTTAAATACGAATATGATTCACTATAAGTGGTTGTTGTTGTGGATGGTCTCTCAGCGATATAACAAACAAGACATCGAATATGTGGTTGACTCTTATCGGGATTAATTGGTTCATCTGAAAGAGTAATCATCATATCACCGTACATTGTTTCCCAATAAATATATGTATCATCAGAATCCGAACTTTGCTTATGTGTTCGAAGATATTGATCATGAGCTTCACTTATCGTTAATGGTAAAACAATGTGATCTGTAAATTGACTTGGTGCTAAAGTAAGCATAGTGCCACGAAAACGTCTTCCACGTTCTTTTTGTTTTTCAAATTTTTGTATTAGTGCACTTGTCACAAAATCTTGATACTCAGAACGACTCTTATCCGATGGATGTGAACTTCCACCACCAGTAGCAGTAAGATTAATTTCATGGTTTGTAATATGAAGTGCATCACGAAATACTTTTTTTGCTGATTCTTGAGCTGCCGGAGTCAATGAACTGAACAGATTTTTTGGTATGTATACTTCTTCGATATAATCAAGAGGAACCAATCGAGGTAGATGGGCCTCAAATACCTGATGCGAATCAACTTTTTTCCAACGATTTATAATGTCTTTCAAATCAACATCTATCGTTTTCTTCTGTAATCCTGATACAGCCATTAGTTCCGCTGCCGCTGCATATTCATATCCTGGTACAGAACAATGTAATTTGGATTGATGAAAACATTTTATTCTCTCTGCTTCTGCACTCGGATCTTTGAACCATGGTCGATGCGAAAATGTACTTCCACTTGCAAATGATGTTGCTGCTTGAGGAGAGAAGTTGGCATCTGGATGAAGCATTATTTCACTTTTAAACACAAAAAATATATCTCCATAATAATGACCAAGGTGTGGTCCGAGAATACTGAAAACATGCTTGTCAGTACCTAATAATTTATCAGTCGGATATCCAATACCAGACGGAGCATTATGAAGATTCCACGAGGCTTCAGCAACATCAATGGCGCATTTTTTTATTGTGTCAACTTCTTCCAGCTTTATCAAACTTTGAAAGATTCTTTCTTTTTTACGTATAGTATCATCATAATCATCAGATTCAGTTGTCGTTGATGAACTACTGGTACCTGTTCCGACTGTTGCACCTGCACTGTATTTTTTACTGTACACCGAAGAAACAATGGCTCGAATGTATTCTTTAGCATGATCTTCAATTGTTGACATTTTATAACGATCAAAAATTGCACGCACGCGTTTATGTTCTTGAACAGCTTGAGCTGCAAAAGAAGATTTTTTTAAATGTTCCATATGATCACGAGACATGACATGACCATGAACGAGTATCGATTCAAAAATGACTTTTGAACATCGATGAATTGGTTGTAAACCTTTAATCCATTTTTGAATTTCGGATGGAATTGATAATCGATGTTTTGAATTTAAACCTTTAGCATAATCATTTAGTGCTTGAACAATTTTTCTTTGATTTTCAATGAAATTAATCTCTTTGTTCTGTCCAAAACAGCCAATAACACCACTACGATCATGGTTTCCATGATGCCGATATATTATTATATGTTCTGGTTTTCGTCTATCTTTACAGTCATAAGCTTGGTTAGGGCATAAAAGACGAATATCAGCGATATCTGGATGTGAGAAAGAATTTAAATGATCATCTTGATTTAGTTTTTTACATTTACTACCCAATGAACAGATGTTACGGGCAATATGAATTGTGGTTTTCCAATGTATATCTGATGTTTCTTGACATTGTCGACCATATCGACATACATGTGAATATTTTAGACAATGGTTTTGAATATCAACTGGTAATTTTTTGATATTTTTTGTTTCACATAAGCTATTATATTGTCGACAATGAAATGGAGTAAATTGACATGGTGGTGGAAATGGATGATTTTCTTCGCTTAAATGTTTTTCGTCATGAAATCTTACACAAAAATGACTAAAACGACACATTGGAATACAATGACGATAATTTAGACAGTGCTCATTTGATCCACGATTATAATCAATACATTGACGACGATGTTTACATAGTGGCACATGCCGATAAGCTTTAAGATGTTCATTATCCATGTTGTCACAACGACCACGATCACGACAAAATTCAGGATGCTCAAATTCATTTGAATGCATTATATCATTTTCAATTAATTCACATTCACCACCATACGAACATTTTTGACGATGTCTGAACCAAAGCGTATGTTGGCTATCAGTTTTTTGTTTACATGGTGTCCTATTATCTGCGTTTGGGCATAAAGATGGATGTGAATATTCACGACAATGCTGTTCATTTTTCAAGTCATTACATTTTCCTCCATAAAAGCATGGCTCCAAATAACAAATTCTAATATCACTTAATGTTACTTCTTTAACAGTTGTTTGATTTAAAATTCGCCAAGGTCCAATCATCATGTCGACAAGCTTATGTCGTTTTGGTTCTTCGTTTAAATTATCAAGCAATTCTCTAAAAGGACTAAAATTTCCAATTGGATTAAGATCCTGACCAGTATTATGATCATCAACAATAGCAAAATAGATGTATTTGAAGTATCCAGCATATTGTTCAATAACTGATTTGAATATTGCTGCAACATGCTTTGGCGGATTTCTAAACGCACCACAACCAAGAGCAGATAGGACAAGACTATCATGTTTTTGATGATGCGCAATAGCAAATATATTTTCAATTTTTTTTCGTGTACCAATAGAATATTTTGAAGCGAGAAGATCATTCTCAATTTTTGGATCACGATAGGCAGCCATTGCAATAGCACATACATCGTACATAGGTATTTCCATGAAAGTATAGCCAGTATCTTCAGGTTGCCGAAAAGCTGTCAATCCCGATGTATAAATTGCCCCAAAGTCATCCATTGGATATAGTGCATCACGGTCGGATAAAGGTTCGAGTTCACAATTCGAATTGCAATAGAAGCGTGCTGTTGGTTTTCCATCATCTAATTCAAGATCGAGACTTTGAAAATAATTCGAACGACGAAAAAGTGTCTCTTCTTGAGCTCCATCACCTCGTTTGTAGCCACCACCTGGACTATTCGCATTGGCCATATTGAGAAGAACTGGTCGACAGCCTTTGCTTACTAAACTCTTGTAAACAATCAAACAATCTTCATTGACTACTCTAACTGATGTCGATGGATAGGGAGATTCTGTTGCATGTGACAATGAAGCTGTCTTACCACGTTGCAATTTTGATTTATGGTCATAGAGAATTGTTTTTATTCGATCCGATTTTAATTTGATTTCTTTTTCACCAATACGATAAAAACCTCTTTTTACTACACCAATTGTATTTAACATGACTGTCATTCGTAATAGATGACGTTTAAGGTTGCATAATTTTTCCTGTTTATCTCCATCTTTTCCATCAATTTTACGGTCATTCGATGTCCAACGACGAAATTGTTCTAAAAATGCTTTTGAATTCCATTTAAATAGAAATATATGATGCTGAGGATTAGAAATAAATGGCATGATGTCGGGTTTATGATCGCACATTTCTGTTTCATACCAATTTTCGGCATCGATTTCACTATCTTCAGGATTACTTGCAAATGTATAAGCTTCAATACCCAATACATGGTCACCAATACGTAAGGCACCTTGATCAATGCATTTATCATAAATACTTTTATCCGAAAGTTCGAGAATGACATGTTCATGACTGGGTAATGCTTTAATAACAGTATCAGCAAACATTTTATGATCTCGAATGAGCGATATCGATAGGCTTTTAGGCACGGATCGTATCAAGAGGCGACAAGCAAGACTATCTTTTTTCATAATAACTCGTCCATCTAACAGAATTGAACTATGTAGTGTCCATATTCGAGCTCTACCTGATGTTATTACAACAGCATTGGCACCGTCTTTGTTATATTGAATATGTATTGATTCTTTTGACATGTATTTATCAGAAATTAACCTGCTAATAGCTTCTTTCAATCGATCCAAATTTGTCGTTCGTGGTAAATCTTCAAAGAAACTACAGTCAGCTCGACAATAAACAGTTGCAAAGCAATTATTGATTGAGAATTCTCTAATTGACGTAGATGTGAGTAGTTCACTTAATGAATGCGTCACTATTCGAAAGATATTAGGAAATTGAGCAGACAATCGTTCACATTGTGGTTGGGATTGCATCTTACACAGATGAGCCCATCGTTGACATACCTCATTAGCCAATGGAAGATTTTTTGTATCCTTACCGTCGATGACAATGTATGAGATAAGCTCGAGTTCATCTACAAAGGATACTGTTGTATTTTTGGACGGTTCAATTATAATTTTTTCGATGATATTGACCAAATTATTTTTATCTTCATCATTGAGCACATAGACGATGCCAATGCCTAATTCTGTATCACATTTAACATTGAGTACTTTTTGTTTATGTTTAAGTTCTAAACATTGACGAATGATATTTTCGAGTAATTGTTCACTATCGATGTTCGCTGGCAAATCAGGTACATAAACAGCGATAGGTTTATCTCGATTCGACCTTGTTGGCGATGATGGACCTGAAAAGAAATGTTTTTGACTGAGTGAATTCATGTACTTTCAAACGTTTTTCTGAAAGAGTCTTTTTCTTGGGTAAATCATTCTAAGTTCAACATAACATAGTCGTGAATGCTTTATGATCAAGAAAAAGAATTGCGTAGATGGAGAGTTCAGTATTGAAACCCAGTGTATTTCTTTGGAACATATCAGTTTTTGCACAATATAATTACAAGAAGTTTATTCGAACTTGACCTTGGTTTTAGATGTTTACCTCGAAAATATTTACTATAGACAGAATTCTCGGAATAGTAAGCAATGCCTAATTTCAATCAGATTGAGTCACGAAGATTTTTTCATTTAGATTCACATGGTTAACATGAGCTGAATGGACAAAGTTTAGTGTCCGAGTGGCAACATCATTTGGAAGCCGAAAAAGACAATATCTGAGAAATGTTCAAATAGTGAATGACCACATGATCAAGAGCTAGGGAAATGAACTTTAGAACCAAAAAATTGCAGGCTGCTTCGAAAGAAAAGCGCATTTTTTTGCTTCGGTAATTTTCTGGCACGCACAAATGTAGAAAAGCTCAGAGTCTCTTTAAGAGAACAGAGCAACTAGTGAAGTTCACAAAAATTCAATAAAATCGAAAATATTAATAATGTTGGAATTTTCGCGGGAGTGGGTTTAGATGTGTGAACGTTAGCTTCTTCTCTTCTGCCAAACTCACACATAAATTTTCAGTAAATTCATAGTTTGTAATTTTAATCTGAGACTTTGCTCACATGAACGTCATAATTAGACTACTTAGCTTGCGTACTACATCTCAGAATTTTCAAATATAGTCTCCTCAAGATATGATTTTTCAAAAATGTTCATATTTTACACAACATCGACCGAAAAGACCTACATGATGAGAACAATTTCTATATCGAAGAGGCTGTATTGAAACATTCGGAAAATTAGTACTCGCACAAACTTTTATCCATTTCAAAAAGAATGAATTTGGTTGCTTGTTGAATAACTTGACAATGCTGATAGCTATCGAGCTCGAGTTTTCGCCGTTAGAAAGATCATGAATAGAGAGGTACAAGTAGACTTGAGAGTCAACATACTTGAAAAGCTTTCTAGAGGGTTTCAGAAATTTTTTGGAAGATCATTGTCTGATTCGCTTGATTAGGTATATTTTCAATTGACATTGAAAATCCAATATCTTGAGAAAGAAGCATCCTTTTTGACTAAAACTTTTAAGATATCTTATGGGCAAATTTTCAGTTCGAAATTCCGTACTTTCATTTTCTGGTAAATACCTAGGAAAGTTTTCATAATTCAGTGAAATGGTCATCATTTTTTTAAGGAAAAGTTGAAAACGCCTAAAAATTTCGCATTTTATAAGGTAGACACTGAGCTACAATATGACTAAATTCAAATTGAAAATACACCTACTCAAGCGAATCAGACAGTGATTTTCGAAAAAAATTCCTGAAACCCTGTAGGAAACTTTTCAAGTCTTTCGATTCTCAGGTAGACTTGAATGCCTATTCAGATTCTTTCTAACGGTGAAAACCCAAGCTCGATAGGTATTAGGATTGTCGAGCTATTCAACAAATAACTGAGTCCACTGTTTTTTTTGAAATGGATAATAGTTTGTGTGAGTTCTTCATGTGGGCAATGTTTCAGGTCGAAATTCAAGATTACAATTTTTTTTGAAAAGTTAGAGTGACGGAGAAGAAAGCTCACTAAAAAATGAGTATGTCCACACAAATTCAAAGAAAAGTGAAATCTTTGAATACTTTTCTAGTCTCGTGGTTCTCAACTGCTGGAAAATATATGAAGTCAAAAATTGGTAATGTAATGAAGATCCTCGCTTGCATATATTTTCTGAAAAATCATAAAAGGGTAAATTTCTTTATTGAAACGAATAGAGCTAATTCAAGTCACTGCCTGTTAACAGTTTTCATAGGAAAAAATTGTGATGAGTCTCTTTCACCGAGAAAAAACTTGATTGATTTGGGTAGAGTAGAAATATTGAGCTTTTTACCGTAAAGATATGGAATACCCTACAAGTTAAAATGACCGAGATATATGTCCTGCACGTTTGAAATAATATTCAAAACGTTCCTTCTTGATGTATCAATTGAATATAGTCAGAGGAGTATTCGAAATCACAGCACCTAGAGCTCCCCTAGCCATAGAAACTGTTGTTCGATTGGTAGAAGTAACCAAAGGCAAAAAGTGACTTGTTAATTGGACTTACAACTATCTAATAGTTAGATCTAATGATATACAACTGTAAGCCTTCTTTTGTCTATATTGTTTGTGAAGAGACACTAGTGATTGAAATTATAAAGCACTGCTTATTTATAAAACTTTTAGGATGTAGATACTTACTTGTAGGTGATTTCATTTGTTTCGCAGCTGTTCCTGTTGATTGATGATGATTGTCTTTATATGAAAATGAAGATGATCCTTTCTTATCATCTGATAGAGAAGGTGAACGAGATGAATGTTGTTTTGAAGATCCTTTCGAAGAAAGATTTTGGTTTGATGTCTTTGTTCGACGTTCATCCTGTTTAACATCCACTGAGGAATCAAATTTCAAACCAGAATAACTTGTTAAGTCATGAGTATCACTTTTATTTTTCGATGAAGATGAATATGCTGTAGTCGATTGTACTGATGATTTTTCTTCTCCTGAACCATATTCAGGATGAGTCAATTCTTGCCTACTCGAAGCAGTGCTCCAAACATTATCTGATTGCGTTGGTGAGGAACGCAATTTTGAATGAAGTCTACTGCCACTTTTCTCATGCTGGTCGTTTTGAGTACCACTCGATGCTGGATCGGATGCAGACTTCTTGTCTACATACTTGTAGTCATCTTCTGGAAGTTTTCTATCGTACCTAGTTGACGAGAGAGTTTCTTTTGTTGGCGATTGTCCGTGGGTTGAACCTAAAATTGTAAAAACAAAAGACATTTGACATCAACTGTTACTGAAAAAGCATTGACGATTTTCAAGATACAAAAGTTGGAAGTAAAAGGGCGTTCAATAATGTTGAATCATCATGATTTCATACTTACGTTCAGATGGTTCTCTTTGTTTTGTCTTTTTTTCTGAAGATTGATATCGATTATCATCCGATGAATATGAATTGGAAGACTTTCGACGACTTCTCGATACAGTTGATGAATAAGGGTAAGAGTTTTCTTTGTCGGGCAAGTCATTTTTTGCTGGCGATAGTTCACGACTTGAACTACGTTGACGAACTCGTGAAGAACTTCTTGAATCTGCTCTACTATATATGTATTCGTCTTCTGGAGAAGGACTGCGTCTATCAGATGATGATGACGAAAGACGCCTCTCAGAGTAACTTCGGCGTGTTTCAAGGCTCGGATGCATTGGTTTATGAGTGCCGCACGTATCACATGCATTGTCACTATCTTTATTTGTGAAGCCACATTCACGACATTTCCAATCCTGTACTTCAGTCGATGATGACATGGTCACGGGTTTGTGCTAACCTGATAGATCTAAAATTATAAGACAATTTCACTTGTAGAATGTAACAAAAGCTCACTATCTTTGTTCTAATGAGGCATGCAGCAATATCAAGAGAAGAACGACTAATGTTGTGACTAAATTGACTTTAAATGATTTTCGTGACTTGAATGACTTTAAAAGGCATACATTTCCTGACAAGTCTTTTCCTCTCATTCTTTGTAGGCTATCATACTGTGCACACAATTTATCGCCGAGTAACGGTATGACATACGAGTTTTATTCTAATGTGATCTGTGTATCACACTGAAATAAAGCTCTTATGCCATTTCTTTGCTCGACAATAAATTTTATGCACAGTATGACAGCATAAAAAAATGAGAGAAAACGACTTTTGTCCGGATGTGTAGGTGAAGTTAGTGACGGATTCAAATAGTTCTAGTGGCGATCCATTCACGAGTCTGTTCTAGAGCTCCTAGTCAGTGTTTCCAGCACTACTTTACGAGCTTTATCTAATAGAATAATTCGATTTCCCATGGCCCAATCTATCTTTTTGAAAACCCTAAAATACTCGTATTTCCCCATAGAAAACATGAACCTAGTATAGTAATTCGAGTGGCAACTCGTTCAAGAACTTGTTCCAAAGTTCCTATTCGGTTTTCAAAAAATACAACACGATAAATTCTATCCAATTGTGTAATTGTGTCTTCCAAAGCCCAACTCATGTTCACCAAAATTGCAACATACTGGTATTTCGCCATAGGAAACATAAGACCAGAATAGTAACTCTAGCGACGATTCGTCAAAGAACATGCTCCAGAGTTCATCTTCGATTTTCCAAGTATAGCACGATGAGTTCTATCCAATGTATAGTCAGGTTTCTCATAGCTCAAACCAAGTTCCCACACGCCCCAAAGTACTGTTAGATCAGTACAGGAGTTTTGGAAATACTATAGTAAAATTATCTGCGACTAGGGCCTGTTTCAGAGTTCCTATTCTTGTTCACATAGAACGTGACGACCTCTCCCAATAGTACAATTAAATTTTTCATAGTTCAAATAAGTAACGAAAGTTAGTGGCCGATTTAAGTCTTTCTCCCTGGTATTCGCTTCTGAATCTGTCATGTCCCTATGATTCAAGATGATGGATACAGAGTTTGATTCTCTGTTGAATGATGATCTTTTTCGATGGACACCATGAGGAGAAAAGTAAGTGTTTACTCAAATACTCAGTTTTTAACACTTTTCTGCCAGCTTCTCATGCTAAATGCGCTGATAGATTAGCTTGGAATTAGAAACGCTATGCTTTCAATCAACATTTTTCTGTATCATGAAATATAGGAATTGCTTAATATTTTCGTTAGTGATAACAAAATGATGCTCATTTCGTGATGTATAGAAAATAACTAAAGTAAGATATAGTGAGCCCATTCACTTCAATGTTTCTACAGTTGAAAAGAATTAAAGTGAGAAGTGCGCTGCACTGTAAACAAGAAAATAAGGTGTAGAGTTTAATGAAGGATATTCTAGGAATGCCCATATGAATTCACCAATGAATTTTTAATTCTTTGAAAATAAGATATTGGAAGCTTTAAGAATAAGAAATCTTATTTTCTAATTAGAAAATCGAAAGTGAATTCATATCGGCATTCCTAGAATTTCGGATTCTATTTAGCAATTCGAGCATTTTTTTAAAAACTGGAAAATCGAATTTTATTTTCATATCATAATGAAGTATCAAAATGTATTCAATAAAATAAATAATTAAATAGTTTTAATTATAATTTAAATAAACTTATGAAGGTTTAATTCACTAAATGCATCAAATAACATAGATAAATAACTAACTTTAATTTAAATAATTTCATAAACATCTAATTGACATAAATGCATCAAAATAAATAAATAATTTGCATTTAATTATATTCATAAATATTTTATTTAATTCACTAAATGCATCAATTAAAATAAATCAATAAATAAATAATTTTAATTTTAATACATACAAAATGGACTCACTCACAGAGAAAGTGTAAAAATATAATTTATCAACTCACTAATTTCCGAAGATTATAATGAGTGCATAACACTATCGGTCGGTTTATATACATGAATAAACAATGACTCTATAGCGGTCATTGTTAAAATGATCTTTTTCAAATCGAAATTGATTTTCGAATTTTATTCACAATCAGTGTTGATTTTCCATTTCTTCAGTAGTGTCAAACTTAAAAGTTGAATTCAAGTATTCAATTATTCAATTATTCAATTATTCAACTATTCAAGTTTTCAACTATTCCAGTTTTCACTTTGTCAACGCCTGGATAGCTACCAGAATCACCTGACATTGGCATGGATTGTCTGTAATGCTTCTAGCATCACCTGGTATGCTACATGATTCTCTAGAATGTTGTCAGTATTACGTAGGATGTTACAATCATCACCTAGAATGTTACAAGCATCTCCTAGAATGCTTCAGGCATTATCTAGGATGCTTCAAGTATCACCTGGGATGCTATAATTATTGGTGAGGATGCTACAAGCATCACTTAGGACGCTACAAGGAGTATGTGATAAGCTAGAGCTACCGTGCAATACTGAGTAGGAATGATGATGTACACAAAGACGTGCATGGGTCACGGCTCTTCGGAGGGCGCTTCGCGCCCCACGCCGCGACGCTGAAATAAAAGATGTGTTAGGTGGGGAAAAGCAGTTCCCCACAGAACATCCGCAGAACATGTGATAAGTGAAAATTCAAATAGTTGAATACTTGAATTTAAGTTTCAAATTTGACATATATAAAAATCCGATACCCAGTACTAGATAGTTTTAGCATCGGTACACGCCCAGATATTTCTCACTCATCATTTGTGTTGATTTTAATTTTAATAAACCAATCTTATCAAAGAAAACTCTATTGAATAACTTACATTGTCTATTACATTTTATGCAGATATCTTTATAAGAAATATTTAGTAGAATAATTGACTATCTTTCTAAGAGTGTTTGGCAATAAGCACTTGTTAAAAGAGTTACTTACCTTCATTTGCCTTGGCTCGTCGCTGAATCTCGTCAGGTACTCGATTATAGTGTACATTTTCTTCGTCATCGATTGATTTTGCTCCAGTATTTGTTTTCCTTTGAAATAGAAAGAGAGCCGTCATTAGTATACGGTGCCAGGAAAGATTTATGTTTCGAACTGGCTATGGATGAGAGTGAATCAGCATTTTTCCGTTTCAGCATGAAGATGGTTTTATTTGAGCATCCCACGATAGGATACGCCAAAATTGTTAGACGTCACGCGTAAAGTTGAATTGATGAGAATATGTTTCTCTGAATATGTTGATCCCATGATAGAATATTCAACTGTTTTCGATTCGTTCCCGCATGAAAATTTTCTATGTCTTATGAAAAAGACTATCATATTAATCGACTTCATCAACAGGGATCGAATTCAGTCTTCCTCACTCAATCCATATCTACACATATATCAACACATGTAATAGCCACATTCACCTACACTCATCGTTCTCGCTACATTTCTCAAGTGCCGTAATTCGACAGTAGCGTCTAACTTGAAACTTGAATTCAATTGAATTCAACTTTCAAGTTTGACACACGTAATACTCAAGTAGCTTATGTAAAATGTTAAGTCCCATCTGTCAACGCTAAAGAAGATCCGTAAGCCAATTCAACTAGTTGCTCTAGGTTAATTAATGTTCGAGAAAAACATCAAAGTTTGAAAATCCTTCAGAATGTTTCCAAGGATTACCGAGTATGGCGAGTCGGTTGTTTGCATCGGTGAAAATGTACAATGTATAGTTATGCCATCTGTTGGTTCTTGCCAATATCCGAGCTCTAATTGGCGATGGGCTCACGTAAGTTTAGGTACGACTGGATCGATGGGAGTACATGGATGTTGTGAGACTTCATATCTACATAAAATCATAAGCGAGCAAAGTACCTATCTACCGGCACTGACACGCACAATATAGTTCTAAGCTACTTTTCTATAAAGCAGAACACATTGCTAGGCTTTTTGATCTAATGTTATATTACTTTTCATTATAATTGTCACGAAAGTGGGTTTTCATTTTTCCTTAAGTAATCTAAGGAGATATTCAAGCTGCTGAGGCTAAAATTCGCATACGATATGCGAAAAAAATGGCAACAAAAAGCACAAAAGCTCGATACTGTGTTTTAAAACGAACTGGAAGTTCAACTTACCATAGAAGTTGTGTTTGAAATTATTGCACATTGAAATGGGAGCAGATTTTACTTTTCACATGGGCAAATAGTTGAAAAACCGAAATTTCTCTCTCCTCTATGTAGGAATCATTATGCCTCAAACTGTGTTTCTCTCATTCTCTTTAGCTTAAATAAGCCATGTATTAACTGTTTTCGAGAGCATGACAAGTGTTTATGATCTTTATTCTTTTTGTGAAACACGATCCGAAAGGAGTGTTGAAGTGTTTAGGGTAGAAAGAGAGCCGTCATTAGTATACGGTGCCAGGAAAGATTTATGTTTCGAACTGGCTATGGATGAGAGTGAATCAGCATTTTTCCG